AATATTATAAAAACGTTTTAAGGGCTATACCAGTATGACGCATGAAAAATTAGGCGATTTTCGTGATTTTTTTTAAGAGAAAGTACGCGTTTGAACATTTCGAACTGCCTTGAACGTAATAAAGTATATTTTCAGCTATATTTTAAGGTTTTTTTTTTTTACAAAAATGTTGAAAAATAAGGGAGTTATGGGCTGTCTTCGAAGGGGCCAAAAAATGTGCCCCAACTGCTGGCATGATTCCGGCGAATGAGTAGCTGAAACAAAAAAATTGAAAAGTTTACTAAACTTAAAACATTTCCTATACAAATATTAAACGAAAAATATCGAAAATTAACAAAATGGCGTAATTAAAAAAAAATTGGTTTTTTTTAGGTAAAAAATGGTCGTTTTTTTAATGCCAAATTGACAATTCTCAACCCATCAAAAAGAGCGTAGGTCATTGTATAGCAAATGTATTCAAAAATAATTAGTTTTAATTTTAAGTCGATATGTCAGCTTCTCGCTGAGCTATGATGTCAGCAATTTCGAAAAATGTCGTTTCGAGAAAAAGGCGTTTAAAGTTTCGCTTATATATGTTTGCACCTCCGAGCAGACGCTGCCATTCAAAAACTATTCAAGATACGACCTTCCCGATTTCACAGAATATATATAGAAATATAAGCTATCGAAAAAGCAAATAAATTTTTTTTTTTTTTATAAGTATCCCACTGGTATAGCCCCTTAAATTAAGGAACGAGCATTTTCGATAGGGTTTTACAATATGGAAAGACATTGCGTGCAGGACGGTATGTCAGGGTCGATTGTGAAGTTCAGCCTCCTGTAGTATCCAGAGAAGTTGTGCGAAGCTCGGCCAAACTGCTGTTAAATTGCAAGCAGCTTATACATACCTACAAACACACATACATGCATACATAAATACTTTATTTAATTAGTTTTCGCTGATGAAGTGCAAATATGTTGCAAATGCCTCAAACAGATTACAAACATGAAATTACAGGTGAAGATGTGCATGCATGAATGCAAAAAATTGCCCTTTTCATTACGAACGTTGTTATTAGTAGACAAAAGCAAAATATTCGTGAAACATTGCAAAACACTAATTTCGTAATATCAACGCCCTGTCAGTGAGTGCTCCTGATATACACACATATAATAAATGTGCATGAAAATCCATAAACATGTTTGAGAAAATGCTGAAAAATAGAAATGGAAAGTCATATGCAAAATTAATAAATTAAGGGGGAGAGTAAGGTTTATAAGGTGAAAAAAGGACTTTTTTTGCGAATTTATTTCTTAAATATGGATTTAGTAATTTCAATTTGACTTTTTTTATTATTAAGCATACTTTTGACAATATAGGATACTTTTTCATGCAGAAATGTTGAAGCATAAGTGGGTAACAGAGCTGCTCTCAGAATGTCTTGAGAAAAAAAACTTTGCGGTGTTCACCATAATTCGGCTGGAAAGTATCCGAAAATTAAATAAAGAAAAATTTGTCAAATTATTATCAAATATTCCCTAAATTTAAAGGACGGCGGTATTTTATATGCCAAAAATGTGTAAAAAGTATGAAATGAATTTTCCAGTAGTTTTGAAATGACAGTGAACACGGACTTTAAAAAAGTAATTTTCAGAAAAATGCGTCGAAAATTTATAAACTAAAAAAGTGACAAAAAAAAAATTACCCTATATTGCCAAAAGTGTGCTCACTAAGGTACAAAAGGTCCGAAAAAATTATTCAATCCATATTTAAGATATAAATTCGCAAAAAACGTATTTTTTTACCATGAAAACCTTACTCTTAATTAAATATATATAAGGTGTTTAAAAAAAATAAAAGCAATTTTCGTTTTAAAAAAAAAAATTTATTGATTTGTCTGCATTAATATTGTCGCCTTCAAAATAATCCCCACTCGATATTAACAAGTCATCAGAAAAGTCCCCGCCCTGACACATTTGTATGTATATGGTACTAGATTTAAATCCATTAAGTTAGGCCTTCAAAAAGCGCGGATCTAAATTCTATAGCTGTGGGATAATTAGTTTGTGCATTATATCATATTGAGTGAAGTTACTTTTCTTATTGTAAAAAAAAAAAAAATTCATAAAAAGGTGTTAAAAAAATATTGCTTTTTGTAGGGTAAAAATATAGTTCAAATAAAAACTTGCTTGATTACGAGTTTCCAGGGCGCTGCGACAAGAAAATCAACCAGAAGTATTGGCAAACTTAGCATACATGGCGAAATGAGCACGAAGGTGAGCACAGTGAACGCCCAAAAGAGATTGTTTACCAATGAAAATACTAAAAAAAAAGGGCAGAAAATAATTTTGGATCACCGTAAAGTGACGTTGTTCGAGAGCAGTCAGTTACTCTAGTTCTGACCCCCATCAACTATTTCCTGGCCTCAGATCTCAAAAGAATGCTCGCTGGGAAGAAATTTTCGTTGAATGAAAAGCACAAATCGTAATACAAATAATGGTATCGAAAAGTTGGAGGGTCGTTATAATCAGTGTGGTACTCTAAAAGAGAACTATGTTGAATATGAAAAACGAATTTTCCCAAAAAAGTTTGTTTTGATATGGTAGGACGGGAGCTTTCCAATTGATCTTTTTTGTACTTAAATGTATATTATTCTATATAGACTTCATTCTGACTCTTACAGCGATGTGCATTTAATATCATCTGACTTGTAGAATGACGACCTTTTAAAATTCTCTTTATTTGTGAAAACAAGAAAAATTAAGACGAAGCTATGACCGAATGGAATGGGGCTGGGGCATCGTTACAGTATTGTATGTGCCCAATAACGAAACAGCAATGAAGTTTGAGCTTTTAAAAATAAAAATCACTCAGCTCATAAGAACACAATTAACCTTAGCGTCTGCTAAAGAAAAATTAAGCAATGAATAACTGAAAATTTTATCTCACTTCACGCACAGTGAATTTGAAAATTTACGGATATTGTCTTTTAAGTTTTCTACAGTAGTACTTTGAAGTTTTCAGAAGCGAAGAATGCGAATGTGAAATACTTAAGCATAAAAGAGTAAAAGTTATGCAGATCGCAGACATCGCAGCACCATTCAGTATATTATAAAAAGTCATAATGAAATTTAATAAAGTCAAAACCTGGTCGAACAAGAAGACTTCTAATGATGATAAATTAATACTATATCAAGTGAAGCAAAGCCCACGAATATCAGCACCGAAAATTAACAGCGAAGATAAAATTTACTTGGAAAAGGTTGTCAGTGATTCAGCAGTAAGGAGAGTGCTTCGTAAACAAAGTTTCATGGAAAATCTGCTCGCAACAAGCTTTTTATAAATAAACACAAAAGATTACAGTTTGTGACTTTCAAACATGGAGGAGGATGCGTGTTGGTGTGTTGCTGTATGTCAGCACAAGGAGTCGGTAATTTGGTTACTGTCGAAAAAATAGACTACAAAGATATTATGAAATAAAATTTAATACTTAGATGGCTTAGAAAATCGGAATCTGAACTATTAATATAATATACTAATTTACATAATAAGAAAAATGGCAATACGCTCTCCGATCCGTGAAATTTTAAAATACCTGTTATTTTCTGAGCACACCTCGTTCGTTTGATGTGTTTGACTCCTATTTTGTCCCTACGGATATTATAAATGAAAACATAAATTTGTTTGTCATGCCTTCATTTTGAAACCACTGGACCACTTTTCATGAAATAAAAATATTTTCCTCACCAAAAGTAAAAATGGGCGCGGCCAATAATAACATTTGTAAACAAGACGCTGCGTATACGCAACGAGGAAGGAGACGGGTTAAGAGAGTTCATATAAAGCTGTTCAGTTCAGTAGGTGTGTCATCCAAAAAGTCTTCACTTTTGGATCGATTTAATATTATTTGATTTAAGTATGAACTAATTCTAAACGACTTAAAGTTTAGTTTAATTCTGTGTGACTTTTTTCTGTCTCAAAACTAAAATGTCCACTTTGAATAATATGCGTCGAGTTGTTGAGCGCCGAAAAAGAAATTTGCTGAATCCTAATTGCATAACAAGAACAAGTATAGAAATTGTATTAACCATTTATCAGCGTGAAATAATCAGAAAGAGCTAACTTTTAAATTACGTATTGAAAATATTAAATTTATTTATTAATTCTATTAATAAGATATCGACTAAAATTATATATGTAAGTTTTTTAAGGTTGGCGTATATTACAAGTCTCTTAAGTAAAATTTAGTGTGAATTATGCCATGAAGTAAACGATTCCAAAGGCGTGACCTAAAACCGACGCCACTTTTGTTTAACCATGAGTATGATAATTTATCGATTTCTATAAAACAAAAAAATTTTTTCACGTTCAATATCTTAATAATGATTCAATAATTGTTAATTTTGTGATAACAATTTCGAAATTTCGAAAGTTAATTTCAATATTCTTCACTCAACCAATTTGTATTGTCAGTGCTAAACCAACAAAATGGAATTAAAGTGGCAAAATAATTTTGAATTTACCGCCAACTTCGTAGCTACATTAAGTTAAATCTAGGTCATTTAGACAAATCTATGTTTCATATATGTATGTATGCTTCAATATACATAGATAATTTTGATCGATGTTTGGCCGACTGACTACATGCTTCAAGGCAAAAAACTCCTTTTTATCTACTGCTATTAACACACGGTGAGTATTTACATACATTTGCATGCATTTTGTTATTTGTACTTTGCAAAAAATTATAAACTGTTAATTTGTTTTCAATAATGTACGTATAGAACTTTACTGCTGGGATCTTTAACCTAATAATGAGCTGATTTATTATTTCTTCTTTAATTTGCACATATTTACGACGGCTACACAATTTTTTCTACCGTAAATTACTTTGTACATTTTCTAATTTTTGGTCGTCACTCGTGCGAGAAATTACCCAAAAATTTACAGTATATATTCAATTAGAATTTGCAAACCTTCTTCAGTTTCAGTCAGACTTTTCGCGCATTGGTGTATTGTGTTGCAGTATAAACAAAAAACAGTTTTCTAAATTGACTCTTTAATGATGTATTTTTGCAAAGCTATCTTCACTACTTCAATTTTGGCGTTTTTATTCCTTACTCCGATATCTGCAGGTGTAAGTTAAACAAGAAAAAACTTTAACTTCGGCTGCACCGAACCTAATATACTCTTCACAGGTGCATGTCTTTTAGTAACTATGTGTTTAGTTTGTATGACAGCTATATGCTATAGTAATCCAATCTGAACAATTTCTTCGGAGATTACAGTGTTGCTTTAAAAAATAATCTATACCAAATTTCGTGAAGATGTATTGTGAAAAATCAAAGTTTTCCATACAAGAAGTTGACTTTGATCGGTCAGTTTGTATGGCAGCTATATGCTAAAATAGACCGATCTTAAGGAATTGTTGAGATATTATAGCCTTGCCTTCGATAATAATCTATACTAAATTTCGTGAAAATATCTCAACAAATATAAAAGATTTCCATACAAGAAGTTGACTCCGATCGTTCAGTTTGTATGGCAGCTGTATGTTATAGTGGTCCGATATCGACAGTTCCAACAAATGAGCAGCTGCTTGAAGAGAAAATGATGTTTGCAAAATTTGCAAACGATATTTTAAAAACTGAGGGACAGACGGACATGGCTAAATCAACTCAGCTCAAAATACTGATCATTTACATATATACTTTATAAAGTCTCCGACGCTTCCTTCTGGGTGTTACAAATAAATTTCTATTTGCCAATCGCTGGCTCGGAACCGGTTTTAGACCCAAGCATTGTACATATCTGTACACAAGACGATATTCCGCGGATTTAGTTATTTCGAAAGGTAAATCGTATTCTCTATTTTTTGAGTTGTCCGACGGGTTAAATTCTGTGATATTATAGTAAATACAGGAATGTTTCGAAACCTCTTAAACCTCTCTCATTTTCATTGACATCCGATAAGAGTTTCAATGACTAATTAATATTATTTCCATAATCTTCAATTATCACTGACATTCCTGATGCAGAGTAAATATCTCTGGGGTATCCGTTCGTCAAAGTTTAGACCAATTTTTGAAATATTTACGGATTTGGAAGAGCTCGACAGATAGTAATATGTAACGTTTCTACAGGTTGGCCTAAATAGAACGTTTTATTTTTCAAATTATGGTAAAAACAATTGAACGGTTAAAGGGTAGGGTTATTTTTTATTTGATAACAACAGTCTGATTGTGATCTGATTTTAAGGATGAAATCTTTAAACAAATTTATAGACAATTAAAAAAAATTGGTATTATTAATAACGGTTTTGTTTTTATGGAATTTATTTACATCATAGTGGGTTTAATATGTCTCATCTTAATTGCTTGATAACCGTTCTCCGGTTTTTACTTTTACTATGTTTCCAGATCACTGAGGAGCAGATGTGGGCCACTGCCAAATTAATGCGTGATGTGTGCTTACCAAGATTTCCGAAAATTAACATCGGTAAACATTATTTTATGAATTCTTAATAATTTAACAAACAGTTCGAACAGTAATAGATTTGGTAGTGACTGCTTTCAGGAATAGTAGAAATAGATTTTATGACAGTTGAATACGGCTTTTCGGAGTTATGACATTAAAGAATGGACAAGACTTTCCGTTTATACTCATATTATGAATTACAATGGAATGTTGCCAGTTCGTTTCGTTTATAAAGTGGATTGTAGAATTGTTGCCTCTATAATTCTTTACTGCTTGCCAATCTTACTAACTACTGTAGGGTAATATATAGTCGTGCAAAGCAGGAGGCAATAAAGTTACATGTCAGATACTTTCTGAGTTGGATCTTTGTATAAGATGTTATACTTCATCCATTTGCTGGGGAACCAACATGTAAGATATCTAATTTTACTTCAAGTGCGCTGCAACTTTTCAAGAACTTATTGAGTAGGTTTCTTTATTAAATAGGTATATTTTTTGGCGTCTTCATAAGAACAATAATTTATATTTCAAATAATAAATTTATGACTAAAAACATTTAATTCAAGCTTATATGAAACGAGTTAGCGACTCTATATCCATCTCCAAAGACCTAAAATACCTACCTACCTACCTCTAAAAACTACTCACACCTTGTTTTCAGAACTCGCAAATCAATTGCGCGACGGCAACATACCAGACGACAATAAAGATGTTAAATGCTATATTAATTGTGTTTTAGAAATGATGCAAACGGTAATTACTAGTCATTATAATAGACTTAATTTAATCACAATTTTTTTATGTTGTTAAATTTTGTCTTGACTACCATACTTTAGATGAAAAAGGGTAAGTTCCTGTACGAAGCGTCGTTGAAGCAAGTTGATATAGTTTTACCCGACTCTTATAAAGACGATTACCGCGCCGGTCTACTTAAATGCAAGGACGCAAGTGCTGGCATAAAGAAAGACAACTGTGAAGCGGCATACACAATTCTGAAGTGTTTGCGTGGTGAAATTAAAAAATTTATATTCCCTTAAAAAGTGTCGAATGACTTTTGCTATATATTGCAATAAAAAGTGTCGCATAATTCATTTTTTGATTTGCCTCTATTCATACACATACCTCGTACGAAAAAAAATCAAGTACAAGATTGACACGATACTGGTATCTGGCGATAATGCGTTAAGCATTTGTGAATGTAAAATAGCGATATCCTGGGCTAAAAATAGTAACACATTTTAATTTCAATTTTGCTCGTAAGCTCATTCGTCGGAATATTTATTTTTCCAGGTTGGTATGACTGTAAGTGATATCAGTGTAAATGCCACAACAAAATATTCATTAATGTTTAGTATATGTTTGTCTTCCTGAAGAATAGAAAGTGATTTTTACGATGAGCCAAACTATTCAACAAAGAAATTCCATTAAATTTTGTGTGCGGAATCAATTTTCTGGTATCGAAATGTTCAGGTTGTTGGAAAAGGCCTTCGGTGATAATTCTTTGTCGCGACCAAGTGTTTTTGATTGCTACAAATTATTCTAAGAAGGTCGAGAACGCGTTAACGATGAACCACGTGCAGGGCGGCCATCAACAACAACTGATGATCGTTGGAATATCAGAAAGATCAGTGAAAACCATTTGGAAAGATAATTTGGGCCTAGGAAAGGGAAAGCACGATTGATTCCACAATAACTAAATTTTTTCGAAAAACAACGCCACGTTTAAGTCTGTGAAACAATGCTTTCCGAATATTAGGATGTCATGAAACGTATTATTATTGGCGATGTCTCGCATTTATGCTTACGACCCGAAAACTAATCGGCCGCATATCGTGGCAAGGGTGAGTCGAAACCGAAAAAAAACACCTCAAAGCAGGTCAAAAATCCAGGTGTGGTGCACTCCGAACTCCTTCCGACCGGCCAAATTGTCAACAAGGAATACTATTTGAGTGTTATGCGTAGTTTGCGCGAAGCTATTCGTAAAAAGAGGTTATAATTATGGGCCGAAACCTCTTGATTTTTGCACCACGATAATGCACTGCCTTACACAGCATTGATTCTTCGTGAGTTCTTCGGCAGATTCTCAACCAATATCGCGCCACAACCACCGCATTCGCCTGATTTGGTTTATAGCTATTCAGCAAATTCAAACGATCGCTCTGGAGAAACTGTTTTAACTCTTTCCTGAATTGAGAAAAATAAAACGTTGGCACCAGTGTATTGGGGATTACACTGCGAGGGGCGATATAGATTTTGAAGGAGAAATTAAGATTTTTAAAATGTAGTAAACGAATAAAGTCTCAATATTTTTGACTCATAGTAGTACCATTTCATTTTCTATAGTTTCAAATCACTACGAAATAGTTAAAATTTAGTAAACCGTTGAATAGAAATACAGTGAAACTACGATAACTCGTATTTGCAAGGGACCACAATTTAAATACGAGTTATGGAGAGTTTTTCGAGTTATCAAGTTATACAACTTATAGAGGCAACATACAGAATATACGAATTGTAGAGTTTTTGTTTATTTATTTTTTCAATTTTACATAAAAAACAAGAAATGATTGCATATATTTCAATTAATAAATTAAATAAATAAATTTAAAAAATACGAGTTATAGAGACACATTTTTCAATTTTTGTCTCAAGAAAAATACGAGTTATCAAAGGGACCGAAATACATGCATTTTTCGCGAATTTTTCTAGGGACTGAAGAAACAAGCTATGAAATATCAAGGTTTTTCGCTTATCGAGGTTACGACTTACCGAAGTTTCACTGTGCTTTTCTTTCGCGGCAAGGCATGCCTGTCGTAAGAGGCGACTAAAAGCCATATGCACTATGTCGGGCTTTAGAGACCATGTTTTGATGTCAACATGGTCTAAGTCAGATAAGTGCTATAATATTCAGCTGGAAGTCAAATTCTAAGCTTTATATTTATATCTCAAAATATAAGGCATTTGTCACAGCTACAAATGCAACCAGTCATTGAGTTTATACGGGAACTCAACTGGAAGTAGCAAATAGTTACAAAGTCAGACCAAAGACTATAACCTGGTACCACGGGGAGCAGTAAGCCCTTGGAGGTAACTCCAATCTGCTCATTGGGTTTGGCCCTTTGGGGAGATTCGTGGTGGATGTGGTTTATACCTAAATGCAGGAAGGGCATTTTGTCCAATGTGGAGTCGCACTGCGGCCGGGTGCCGGACCCAAAGTACGGCAGAGGTTTTAGATGGGCCTCGTACCCGACCAAGGTGACTAGGGTTTCCCTATCCACCCGAACCAATTGGAACCAATGATTAAATGCAAAATGCATTTATGCTTTGGGGCGCTGATCAACGCATTGTATTGATCTACGTGCTTCTAGCAATAGAAAGCACTGTGGAGTTAGGCTTTCATAGACAGGTATTCACGTTAAAACACATTGACTCTCTGTACTTTTCTTTATTCTATTCGCCGTACTTTAGCGTCTTTTCTGCTTACTACGCTATTCAAAAAAGTAAAATATTACAGCTCGTTTAACACTACTTCACCACTTATTTGGTAGTATTTGGGCTAAAAATATAAAAATTCAAGTTAGAACTGAACTTTGTTACAAAGTAAATTTATTAAAGAATTAAAACCAAATTGGTTTCCTCATAATTACCCACAAATTCCCTAATGGGTCAGTTGTAAGGATGTGCGTGTTCTATCGACTAGTGTTGACGATGAGTTGAAAGCTGAAATTGGCTGCTATTTCCATTTTATGTAGTATACTATAACATTCCAATAGCTTGTAATCATATATGTACTATATCTAAACACAGGTTTGTTTCTGATTTAGTAATTACTGACACAGTATCAATAGAACACTCCACAAATTGATACTTAATATAGTAATTAGTGGGCGGAACAAGTTATTAGTAACAGTATAATATTTAATTTGACGTGCGTGTTGACTTGCGTTTGCAGTCAATACATTTATGATTTTAAACTAATGATTGAATTTGACTTTTTTCCTCATTCGGAATCGGCTATAATAAGTGACACATATACTTTATGGGAAAACAATGCTTTTTTTGTTTTATTAATATCTATTATATATATGGTATATAAAAACTACAAGTCGCGTTGTTTGTCGATGTAATTTCCTAAATTGCTTAACCGATTTTAGCGAAATTTGCACTCTTTCAGTTTGATCCAACTTAAAAACTAGGATCAATAATGTGAAAAGTGAAAACTACTCATAAATAAAATAATATTTCAAACCATAAAAATGCGTCAAAAATTTATGTGAGAATCATTTGACTACTTTATTGCTTGAAAACACGAAAAAACTTCAACTTCGGTGGCACCGAAGCTAAAATCTTCTTCTTCTTACTGGTGTGGAAACCGCTTACGCGGTTATAGCCGAGTTAACAACAGCGCGCCAGTCGTTTCTTCTTTGTTTTTGTTCGTCGAGAGAGGACTTTACTTTATTGCCTACTTAGTCCGAAGTAGCACCTGCTGGCAAGAGATATTTTGCGTTGGATTTTGAGCCTGATTTTGTCGTTGATATTGATGCTGGTTCCAAAATAGATAAAGATGTCATTATCATTAGCATACGCCCTAAGCTGTACCCTCTTATAGAAGATTGTACCTTCTCGGTTTAGTTCTGCTGCTCGAAGTATTTGCTCCAGCAGCAGATTGAAGAAGTCGCACGAAAGAGGGTCGCCTTTTCTGAAACCTCATAGTGAATATCTGGTCAGTTGATGATATGCCACACTGATAAAGTTCATTCAGTTTCTTGACGGTGGGCTGTAACCTTTCACACAATACGCTCGATCGAACCTTATACGCGATATTGAGGCAACTTATCCCACGGTAGACGGTGCAGATTGTGGGGTCTACCTTTTTGTGGATTGGGCAGAGCACACTTACATAGATTCCAATCGTTGAGCATGCTTTCATCTGACCACATCTTACAAAGACGCTGATGCATCCGCCGTGTTGCAATAGCTCGGCCGGCAATTCATCGGCCACCGCCGCTTTGTTGTTCTTCAGACGGATAATTGCTATTCAAAGTTCTTCATGGTTGGGAATGGAACACTGGAGACGTGTCTTCTGTCTATCACAACATGATCGTTCTGGTGGCTTTTCGATCCAGAGATAGCCAGGTAGCTTGACGTATTCTCTTATGCTGGAATCTACAAGTAGTACTACAGATATCCATATTTCAGGTCCCGGCGAAGTCGATCAGCTTTAACCTAATTGGGGATGTTTCGCCAAGCACGTTTTTGACATCGTGGCGGGGGCAGCTCTCATAGTTGCGCTCCAAGCGGTCATAGAATGCATCTTTGGTCACATCGTCCATCTCGGCACCTTCCCATTTAAGGTAATAATTTTTATTTCGTTTGCCTTAATCGTCATCAAAAGGGGGGTCTCTTATCCGAGGCTGTTTTTGACTATTCACACAGTAACAGCACAACCCTGTGTTGGAGATGTTTCGTCTTCTCACTTTAGCTCGCCTTTAAACGGATGTTTATAGGCTACCCAGAGGATACTTGGCCAAAGACCGGAAGTCGTGAGCTGCTTGAGCCATATGTAAAAAAATCCTTTCTGGCCACTCCCAAGATAATGGCGATCAGATAACTTTCCTTACTTGTGTGAACTTCTACACATGGCTCCATCCACCGAAGCTATAGTATACTTCAAAAATACAGAATATTCGTTACAGGAACTTGATTTTGATCGATTATTTTTTATGGAAGGTATATGCAATAAATTGGCAATAAACCGTGCGAACTTTTTTAAGCTATGTCGGCAAATGAAAAAGTTTTCCATACAAGAACTTGAGTCCGATCGTTCAGTTTGTATGACAGATGGATGCTATAATGGTTCGATATCAGGGGTTCCGACAAATGAGCAGCTTATTAGGGAGAGAAGGATGTGTGCATAACTTCAGATCGATATCTCAAAAATTAATTAGTTCGCGTGTGTACAGAAATACAGAGAGTCTTTTCCTTCGGAGTTTTACAAACTGCCTGGTTAACTCTGTTCAGGGTTCAAAACTAAAAA